ATTACCCCTACAATGCGAGTTTATGCTTTCACAAAGATATCTTCGATGTGAGTGCTGAATAGCATTTCTTCGCAAAATCTTATGGAAACGCACCTCACAACGGGATTGGGGTGGGGTGGGTGGGGGAGGGTGTAACTAATATTTTCAACAAAACTAAACTTCAATCCTGACAGGAACCCATTAATTTATCCAGGAAGTTATTTAAATGGGCTGATTATAATGTGAAGAATATTACCTTTTATATATTTAGCAAATCTATAATACTTAGAAAGATGACTATTGCTACAGTGATTTGTCAATAAAAACGAGTGGTGCTACAGAATGGCACAGACTTTCTCATACTAATGATTTTTTAAAATTTATTTGGTTTGAACAAACTTTTAGGACTCTTGCCAACTGCCATCTATCGCCGTCCAAAATTCACTTTTTTTAAATTTTCTAAATTTTACGGTTTCTAATTGAAAAACCAAAATATTACTTTATGAATATTATAGAAGAATGAAACTTCGTCCTATAAGGAAATTTTCGATGAAAACTTTAATGCCGTTTTCAAGAAACTGGCGTTCAAGCGTTACTTTTAATGCGAAATTTGATGCTCTTTTTTCACAGAAATCATTTGAGTTTACGAAAAACTTTTTTAGATGTCATTTGAAGCACATCTACTCATACATGCAATAATCTATACCAATAATTGGAAAAGTGCATGTTAACGGTGTGAGATATTTCAAAAAAAGTATATTTGTGTACTTTTTGAAAAAATACAACTAATGATATAGGAAAATGAATTTTATGTCATCCTAAATAATGCATTTACCACAAATCATACCAAAGGTTTAAAGAAACAAATGTGCTGTTTTTGAGAAAATGGTGTTTTAGTGATTCCGGAAATGCGGATTTCTGTGCTCATTTTCGCAAAAAACTGAGTTTTCAAACAACTTCATGACATCATTGAAAGCACTATACTCATAAATGCAATAATATGAACAAATCGCTGCTAATGTAAATATTATCGTCGTGAGAAATAAGTCAATTAAAAAAATAACAAAAGAATAGAGCAGAATGATGATTACGTCATCTTATTACATTTACATAAATTTAGCACTATTGCTACAAAAATTTAAACCCTACTGTACTGTTCGAATTTTTTATACGGCTGTACTGTTCGGGTCTATTTGACTCGACAAGTTATTTCGCATACTGGAGTGGATCAAGTGAAAATAATAATAATAATAATAATAATAATAATAATAATAATAATAATAAATCAATATTTACTCCTTGTAATACGAATGTGCTACATTAAGAACTATATTAACCCGTTGTTCTACATTTTACGTTCCCGTATACGTACGTTTATACGGAGAAATATACGTAATATAGGAAGTAAGTAGTAAGAAGTAGTAAGTTATGTAATGATGAGAAAAATCGATTCCGATATTTCAACGGAAATACACGTTTTGGGGTCCCCTGATTCTGAAAAAAACTGTTTATTTCCCCCCAAAAGTCCGTCTGTCCTTCCGTCCGTCCGTCCGTCCGTCCGCCTGATGTCTGTGAACAGTTCTAGCGTCTAACCCATGCGTAGTAGTGTTTCCAATTTGAAGAAACCCCTGTCCATCTGGCTCCAGTCAAAACTTTGAGATTTTGAGAAACATTCTTCAAAATTTGGGGGTACTTTACATCACTCCTTCCGGACATTTTCAAAATTTTCTCAAAAATGGCTCAAATTTTTGTCTTTAAAATTCTTGTAAGAGTATAGTAACATACACTTTTAAATGTGGAAAAGCTCCGACAAACGGTGAATTGTGGACCTTGTAGCTTAAAATATGGGTTATCCCCCATTTAAATAAGTGAGGGAATGATTTCAAAAAGTATTCAATCTACGCGCTGCGTCGTGCAACGTCATCCTTCTCTCCTTCCCGCAAAGCTTTCAACCTTCTACTACTTGCACTTTCGGCTCTCTCGCGGGAAGACGGTTGGCTCGTAAGTGCAGAATGCCCGCGGGAGCAACTGCTCTACAAACACAAGTTCACTGACCCCATTGGATGACAGGCAGTCCCACACCATTACATTTCCTTCTCCGTGCTTCACAGTTGCTTAAATGATTTCTCCTTTCAGCTCTTTATTTGGTCTCCTCCACGCACAATTTGTCAGCGAAGATTACTTTATTCCAGCATTATTCATCTTTTTTGCGTGCTATTTAGCAAACTTCTGCCTTTTTCTTCGGTTCTCTTTACTGATAGTTTTCTTCTGGCAACGCGGCAATGGAAATTTGATCTCCTTAGTACACTTCTCACGTTGTGGAAATTTATTTTCTTGTCAATCCCAGTTTCAAAGTGTAGTAATTTTTGGTGCATTAATACGAGGATCTAACTTTATTATTCTCACAATGAGATTCTTATCTCAGGCGTACTCGTCCGGTTTGCTATTCAATCATCTCTTTATTGATGCACCGTAAGATTATGTCACTCAGTAGGCTTTTTGCATTAATCGCAATTTGCAAAATTATCGGCAAGATTTGCCCTTTGCGTAATGGTAAATAACCAGCTGACGCTGCTCAAAAGTGGAGTACTTTCGTTTGCGATTCATTTCGCTTAACTGTTAAGGTTCCCACGAATCTGGTTAATCGACTGACAGGGGACCTTGAATCTGCAGCAAGGGTTGAAGATTTCAACGTTCTTTTCGGAGATCAAAAGATCCGTTACCACGTTACCCCAACAGCTGCCCCTGACCGAATAGTTTTGTTGAAGCGATATCTCTGCATGGGCGATTTATTTATCTTTTAATCAAACATACGAACTACGAATTTTTGGTTAAATTTGGTTAAATTAATAAATGTCCGTATATTTTTGTAAGTCACTGTATATTTTTCCGTATATACGTGGGTATACGAGAACGTAAACTAGTGGTGTTACAGAATGGCATAGACTTTCTCGTACTAGTTAGTTTTCTAATTTCTTTCGTCTGGTCTAGATTTTTAGTATTGCTACATCCTCTTGCCAACTGCCATCCAGTTTCCAAAAATCTTCATTGTAAACCATTTGAAGCACTTCCACTCACAAATGCAATAATGTTTGCTAATCGCAGGAAATGTGGATATTAAAGGGTGAGAGATAATTCAAAAAATTACATTTGTGTAAGATTTGAAAAAACAAAAGAATACAGTAAATTGGCTTTTATATCATCTTATACAGTGCAATTCGCACTATCTGTAAGAAAAGTTTGAATTTGGAGCCGTTTTTTAGAACATGGCGTTGAACGTTTCTGAAAATGCGGAATTTTGAGCTCATTTTCACAGAAAACTTTTCAGTTTTCGAGAACCTTTATGTCACATGATTTGAAGCACATGTACTCATAAATGCAGTAATCTAAACTAATCACCATTAATATAAATATTAACGACACGAGAAACAAGCCAAAAAATTCTTTTTTTGAGTTTTTGAAAAACCAAAAGAATAGGGAAATATGTCGTTGGTATTATCTGTAGAGTACATTGAGCACTATTCCTGCAAAAATTTTAAGTGAAAAATTGTAGCCCTTTTCCAGAAAATCTTGTTTTTGTTATTTTTTAAATTGTACATACTGCACGCAATACTGCGTGAAAATAATACATACTGCGCGAAAACTACTAAAATTTTCAAAAAAATGCACATGACCTTAATAAGAAAACTAACTACGGAGAAAAATTTTACCTGAAAGAAGAAATCTTTGTCTTCTATTTTGTAATTAGAATTTTGTAATTTTATAAGACGCCGAAAAAGTCTATCTTTTGCCATTTTCAGTGAAAATCGGACCTATGAAATTTTCATGAGTGTTTTTCACGCTATTCTTACAAGAAATGTGAAGACAAAAAATAAGAGCTCTTTTTGTGATAATGTTGAACGCGTGAAACACGTGGGCTTCGTGTAAAGTACCTCCTAAAATTAATGAATGTATTTCAAAATCGCAGAGCTTCGAGTGAGGCCAGATTGACAAGTGTTTATTCAGTTTGGATAAACATTCTACGCATAGTTTAGACGCTAGTGTTGTTCACAGACGACAGACGTATTGATTGATTAATTTGTGTATTTGTTGAATTTATTAAAACTAGTGCTTCAAATGAAGTCTTATAGAGTTTCTGGAAAACTCAAAATTTTTCTATGAAAATAAGCTCAAAATTCTGCATTTTCAGAAACGCAAAAATGCCATTTTCTCAAAAACGGTAGACAAACTAATGTGTAACTATTAACTTTATGCATAAATAAAGTCGTAAGTTGTCCATAAGAAGTGAAGCATTTCGTGGAGTTAAATTCATTTTGTTATGAACGGTACTGCATTTTTGTTGGAAAATTTCCACATAGGACGAGTTTTTTCGCTTTTATAATATTCTTAAAGGAATATTTCGGTTCTACCACTAAGAAACTGAAAAATTGAGAAAATTAAAAAACAAAAAAAAATGTAGTTTGGGCAGCAATAGATCGCACTTGGCTAGAGAATGGGACAAGGCTCAAAAGCTAGCCCAGACTAAATAAAATAGAAAACTAACTAGTACGAAAACGTCTGTGACATTCTGTAGCACCACTAATTCTTTCTACGAAGTAATGCGGGAAAGTAGTTGTTAAGAATGGCGTATTTCTCTGGTTTTATTTTCAAAACAGTAGTACTATTCATGTACATTTATATTGTGGATAGTACGAAAATATTTAAAGAACATTACTTCATGGTACAGTTTATATATAAAAGGGAATTGGTCATAAAATTATAAAAGGGTGGGGATGCCCTCCCTGGAATCCCCAGGTATCCTCTCATGCGTGAACATTAATTCATGCCCTTGGGTCGTATAAATTGAAACTCTATTTAGTGACTATGGGGAGAAACTTTTAAAGAGACGGATGCGTATTTTATTCTTTTAATGTACATTTCTTTACATGCGCAAAAATGGAGTCACAACTCCGTTTGAATGATAGGTCGATTGGCGGTCAGAAGCATGCAACGCTCTCTGCGATCCATCGTTTAACTCAGTTCTCAGCTACGTCATCCTGTATTGCAATCGTTCAAGGAGTCGGGAATATTGGGATTTCAGTTCAAGAAAATGGTGGTTAATGCACGATGTGGTCTTTTCCGAATTTCAGTAAGTTTAGTTGTGAATTCGATGTATAAAAATTAGCTGTGTTTTAGAAATTCAACATTATTCTTCAAGGAAATTTATGTAGTAGGGTGTGGTTTGTATCTTGTGTTAATGTGTTGATAAATGTTTTTGTTAGGCATGCCGGGCGTGAAAAAATAATGAAATTGGTATGCAGCAAATACCTTCGGTTCTAAAACTTTTTGCGTGATCTGAAGTTTTAAAGATCTTTTCATGAACGGTACTCATTGTCAGAAAGCATTTATGTGCAAAATTTGCTGGGAAAACGACCAACTTACAAAGGAAAAACCACGTTTTCAGGGAGGCAATGGAGGCGTAAACCGCTCGTTAGTACGTGTTCTTGAAGATAGTGCAAGTTAAAGATTTTCTTTCACAAATGAATTCTTCAACTGCTGGTACAATTCACGCTAACCTTGATATTGATATGAGGGTTTATGTGAGCATTTATTCTAAGCATTTAAGTATAGGCGTACCGTGGTTGTAGACATTCCGATTGCATCTGTAACGGGGTTGCTTTATGAAACAGTGTACTTGCTGATTTCATTATATTATTGTTTTTAAATATCTACGGTGGAAGGTCATTGGCAGGAAAGAACAAAAAGCTGAAGTTCATTGCAGTATGACTAGTGTTAACGATGTTTTTTTTAGTTAAATAGTGCATGCCCATTGTGTGTGCTGTTTCTTGTTAATTAGTATATTTTCTTGTTTATATTTAATATTTGTTAATTTATTATTGCAGATTATGGTGAACCGATTCTAAATTTTGAATAAATTTTAAAAATTTATTTTGAATAAACAATATTGATGGTTAAAAGCGTGAAGTGCCAAGTTCAGACTGATTTGTGTTAAATTGAAAAAATCTAAGCAGAAACATGGGTGTTCAGGATTTACAAAGCTTCCTTGATGGAGCTCAAGTGTCTGGAAGTTCTGTACCAGTTGATCTTTTGCGAATAGCTCGTGGAATAGCTCAACAGCAAGCTCGTCAGAATCATCGCAACAAAGGTTCAAATTCAGCCACCAACAAGTTGTGCCTTGTTGTAGATGGGGAATGTTGCCTTGACAGATTGTACGGTGGCTATTTTTCAGGTCAGATTTATTAATTGAATGCTTGAAAGAACTCTAATTGGATCTATTTATTTTAATTTTAAATCATTGTGATTATTTCTTAATAAATTTGTAACTTTTTGTTTTTGGTAGATTGGGCCTGTGGTGGCCAGTGGAATCGAATGGTGCAGTTTCTGGCTGTTCTTATACAAACAGTGCAGACTAGTTATATAGATTTGGCTGTGTTCTTTAATGGCTGTTTGGAGCAGCAACGTATGAGTGAATGGGTTGCTGCTCAGTTACGTACTCGACAAGGAATTAATCAAGTATGTATTTTTGTTTTCAGAGGTATTTTTCATGAAAGGAAACATTTTTAAAGTTTTTTTAAAAAAAATGTATACCCATCAGTTGGTTACAGTTGAAACTCTGTACAACAAAGAGAAGCTAGTGCTGGGAGAGGATAGTAATGGGGCAAAGTAGAAGGGGGGGCTCCATATGCTTTCTCTTTAAAATGATGAAAAGTGTTTTGAAATGTGTAATACTTTTCAAAGATTTCTTAGTTTCGTATAATTTGGAGATTCCCCCAATGAAAGGCAAGAACCTTTCATACTTACTTTGCTCTTTGCGAGCCCTGTTCCTGTTTCAAGCAGCGAGGAACATTACCGCCCATCTATGAGAAGCTGAGAGTGAAAATTCTCAGAATTTCGAATTGCTGTCTGTTGACCTTTCACATTGTTGTATTGCATCCTTATTATTCATGAAAGAATTGGCTAAAGTACGGAAAATTCAAATTCGCAATTTTAAAGATTGCACATTGAAATTCATACATGACCTTTTACGAAGCTCATATTAAAGAAAAAACTGTCAGTATAGTAGTTTTGCAGTGTTAATTTTTTACAATTTTTGAAAATAGTTTACCGATATTGGGATCTATGCCACCTTTTAACCCTGCTTTACTGTATTATAGATGGAAATTAAAGAAAAGTATGGAGATGATTATGGAATTTTTTGTTTTATGTTGCCTTTATTTTCACAAGTACTTGTGCTCTCAAAAAAATTTATATAACCATAGGAATTCTCTAATTTACATAGCACACATTTTGATATATTTTGAATACCCCCACTCTCCCTGTAATGTATGCGTAACCCCTTAATTATGTAATGCTTCATACTTCCTTCTCTGCTATTATAATCGGTGAAAGTAAATGGTATAATAGTGAAAGCAGTTCATATTAATTTTGTCATATATTGAAATTTATGATAATTAAAATCAGGATTAGTTGATGGTGACCACACCTAACAATAAAACAGACAAGTTTTGAGTGAACAAAGTGAGAAATTCTAACAAGCCAAGCATGTGCTGGTATGGATGATGCATGGGTGAGAGTTTACTGAACCAAATTAATTGGATTCTAGAATGCACTATAGAATCAGTTTTGAATGTTTCTACTTTTTTCATAAACTAAGATTAAATTAAATTTATTAATATTTTCATGCTTTAGTGTAATACTGAATGAAAGGAATTATTTCTGAATATATTGAAAAGTTAAAAAGATAAATGCTCTCAGTATTGGGTGACATTGAACCTAACACCACCCCCTACCAGTTTGTAATGCTGCCTCGAAACCCCTCTCTAAACATTAGATATTTATGGACAACCCCTTATTTAAAGAGCTGTTTGTAAAAAAAAGATTTCATTACGATAAAAATCTCTATCTTCAATATGGAGTTGTAGGAAGATGTCAAAAATTCATTTGCAACATTTGAAAATTCAGTTCGACAAAAATGTAACCAGCATTAACATTATTTCGGGAGTTTAATTTTATAGTTTTTGATCAGTAAAACCAACCCTGTCTTTTTTTTGTAATTGATTATAATTTTTTATTTAATTGTTCATGTCCTCTTGCAAGGAAAAAAAAAGGGAAAAGAAAAGAAAGTTACCTTTAAAGTCCTCATCCCCTCCATGGATTTCCCCATCACCTGAGTAGTGTAAAGGGTCAATTTATACAACTTAAGTTGTAGTGTTCTATTTAAAAAAAAACTTGATTTATTATGTTCTTTTGTGAATTTAAGAAATTGAATATAAAAATAATTTGGTTATTTTTACTTTAATTGTGGATTTCATTTTGTATGAATTGTATTTTTTATTCACATTTTAGAATTCTTGTGCTTAGTATTAAATTTGAGTTTGAAATAATTTGCAACCAGGAATTATGACTTTTTTAAATTTGATTTAATTTCATGTAATAGTATCATTCATGCAAAATGTTAATTGTTTTTGTTTGGATTTTCTTAAAATCATACAAATTATTTAATAGATAAGAACTGGTCTGTCTTCTGGTTCTTAAAATTTTATGAAATGTTTTAGTAGTGTATTACTTTTGAAAAGTTTGAATGATTTTGAATAATATATTAATAAATTTTTGTCCACTTTTTTCAAAGTATTTTAACTCTATATCAGTATTTTTCAAAGCTTACTTATTATCTTTCAGAAGTGGGGATGTTTAAGCATTTGATTAAGAACTGGTTTCTAGAAAATTAACAAAATGCATTTCATTGCAGGGTGTGCCCTTTCTAAGCCATTTGAAGTGCGAGAAGTGTATAGGGCTGGATGTATGGTTTAGGTTGAGTACTTAAATTGTTTTGAATAGATTAATGGCTAATAATACATGTTGAAGATGGAGGCCCCTGTGGCTGCAGCCTGTAATAGAAGGCTAAGAGCTGAGAAATTACTCTTCTCACGGTATTTTTATACATACCTGCAGTATCACAAATGCTGAATTTGAGGGGAACTGATTAACTGAGAGGATGCTGATTTGATGGGAACTGTTCTGGTTTCTCTGAACAAAACAAATTTCAGAAATATTTGGAAGATGATTTCAAAATTGCTTTGGTGTTTATGAACTTCTTAAATTTCAGAATATCAATTCTAGAACTTTTAGAATTGTTATCTGACACTTGTATTGTAGAGGTATAACTTTAGTTAAATGTGAAAATATCGAAGGATCAAACATGCTTATGATTAAATTCTTTTGGAAATGGAAATTAGCCTTTAAGAAATTTTGTTTCAAAATTGTTTCATTGCAGTCAACTTGTAATGAACTCTGATGTAGTGAACACATGGTTATATTGAACATAAGTCTCTGATCCCACCTCACTTTCATTACAAATAAGCATAAGAATCAGTTAAAGTGAACCTGAACATTGGCCACAGTGAATGTAGAAAATATGTCCTGGAGAATAATACATTGCATCAGTGCCACAAATTTCAACAGCAAGCTATGTAGAAAAAATGTAATCGATTAAAGGTAATTATCGATGTCTCCACTAAGGTGAAGGTAGTGTACCTGGAATGGGGACCTTACGGAGTACCTTGTCACTCAGTTTCACTGCAGAAGCATAGGCTGTGTTAAAACTGGCAGCTGTGGTGCACAATTGCTTGCATTAGTTTGAAGCTTGGTGTTATAATCCATGGGACAAAGCATGTTGTCTATGCTGGTGAAAGCAGCACATGACTGCAACACCCTGATGCTGCACAGAAAAGAGAAGTTTCATGAGCCACTAGTGCCATCCCACTACCGAAAGTATCTCGAATGTTATTAGGCTTGTAAAAGGACCTTCGGAGAATGGGACAATGTTCCAACAGTGCCAGAGGTATTGAAAGGTGCCAAGACAGCATTAGGGTTCTTAGGCAGTAGACAACACAGAATCAGTATAGAGCGAGCATGAAAGCTGGAGAAGAATTTGGAGAAATTACTAGTGGAAAGATACGAATCAAGCAATTGAAAATGGATTATGGATTTTTTAAGAACAAATAAAGATATTAAATTTTCTGTTCATGCTGTTAATGAATTTTTATATTAACAAATTATATATTTGTGAAGAAATTAGATTTAATTTTGACTTCATTGGACATAGTGAGCCACTAATGTTACTCCCCAGAAGTTCACTATAACCGGAATGTGCTGTATTTTTAATCTTGAAACAGAGGGATTTAGGTAGATTGTCATGCCTTAAATGAGTAAAAATGACCAACTTTGATCTAACTTCAGTGAAAAACCTGTTAGTTACGAGTGTTAAAAGAAAAGAGGCCTTACGAATGGATTTAAAATAAGATATCGACTAGTAATTGATTTTAAAATATGATCTAAAATAAAATTCAGATGAACATTTCACTTTTTCATGGTTTCCCAGTGCATATAAAGGTTTAGTGCTGGTTCAGATCACAGAAGCTATATTTTTCTTTTCAATTATGTCCATGTTCATGTTATGTTCATGTTCCATGTGATATGTTTATTATACTGCATTGCCTGGAATTGGAAATAGCAATAATATGAATCCTGTAAGGTTTATTTCACCGTGAAAGTAATTTAACTCTATAATTCATGTTTGAAGGACTTCCGTTGCAAGTTCTTTTATTGACACTATTATTAAGGACGTTTATCATCCCAAAATTATGCACTCTATAATGCAAATGTTAGTAATGATGCTCTGTGTGTAATATAGGAAGTGCAAGAAAATTAGTGTGAAAGTCATAGCTTCTGCAAAAATCATAAACAAAATGACTGTATTCTAATGAATTGGAAGATAGTGAACAACAAAGTAATTAAAGAGAAAAAACATCATTTTTTAATATTTGAAATTCTGTGAATCTTGTGTATAAATTTTTCTAGCTTCCACTTTCGCTAGTTGTGTGTGCTGGTATTACATTCTAAAAGTTTTTCTGAAGCAACGGCGAAACGCTTCATTGAACATGAAGAAACTATCCAAACATGGGTCAATTTTGCCAGTTATACCTATAAAATACTTCGAATAATATTGAATTAGTTAGCATGAGGATGCTCAAAAGGTTCCTCACACAATTGTTTCATAATTACATATTAAAATAAAGTGTTTAAAAAAATGTTAGACGGCAATAAATTATATTATTTAACTGTACTCGCAGATTTATATACCTTAAATCAAAAGTAAACTATGAAATACAAAATTCTGTAAATGCTCATTGTCCCAAGCTTTTAATCCATTCTTGACAAGTATAGGATAAAACTTAGATCTTTTTATCCACTAAGTATTTAAATGCCTATAAAAAAATGGAAGCATTACATGTAGTCTTTGAAAAAAATAGAAAACTTAATTTAAAAAATGGCATTGAGTCATAAAGTCAAAATCAACTCGATATGGACCACATAAGGAACTCTCCATAGATTACTAGTGGAACACTACAAGTGTTAAAAAGACCAATATAACTATTGAAAAAGGAGGCAGAGGAAGTTCTTGTGTAGAGAAAAATTATCTTTTTAAGTTGACCCCAAAATCAAATGTTAAGATGAGTAGTTTTATGTGAAAGTTAGGCAGTTTTTGAAACAATTTTTTCCTTCAACAGCTCCAAATTTTTCTTCAAAACTTTTCTCTATTTGTATCTATAAAAATACTATAGTGGTGCTAGTCTCTTTTCTGTCAAACTGTATTCTTGAAGATAGCTAAAATTTAACATTTGAAAACTAAAAAGTTGAGGATAGAGATGTTTGCATGAATGTAAAGTGGGATGTTTTACTAAGTGTACTCATTTATTTGCAGGTTTTGAAGCACATAAACATAAAAGGTACACCACCACCAAAAGTTTGGTGGACATCTCCAGTATGTTTAAGGACATGTTTGAGGATGGCTCTGCGACATTTGAATGTCAGTGTGGTATGTATGCTGAGTTACCTTTTCTGTTTGAGCAATTGTGCTTTAGAACAAAAAAGAATAAAATAAATGTTCACATCTGAGAATGTAGATGACTTAAAAAAATCAATTCTACTATTGCACCCCCCCCCCTCCCATCTTGTTAATTTAACCATGGGGTGGATTTTGTATTTAACTATACTTGTCTTTGACAAGGTGTGTACAATGGATGATCATCATCAAGAAGTTATTGCCTATTGTCGTGAAAACAGTTTCCATGGTGTGATGGCTGATGATGGAGAATATGCTGTGTTTGACCCTCCTAGATACTTTTCATCAAAACATCTGAAGCTAACTTATAAAGTGAGTATTATTATTATTATTAATTATATCTATACATGAATGTGTATGTATGTGTATGTAATTTATGTATTATCTCGTGTAAGTTAATATTGGTGAAGTGAAGATAGGGAGTTTGTTAAAAAAGATTGACTTTTTAATTGTGAAAATTAGAGTCCATTTAAAATGTAATATCCAACAACGATCCAATATACCTCTTCAAAAAAAATTTTCAGTGATTGTGCTGTGCTTCACATTTTTAAGTTAAAGGAGATAGCAGGATATTCTGTGTGTTCAATAAAACTATACATACTGATCTTGGAACATATACAAAAATTCAAATAAATTTTCAGAAACATTTAACTTTGTGTTCACAGAGAACAGTGGTTGTATTGTTCCAGAATTAGTAAACCTCTCCATTTGCATTAGTTTTGGTGAATAAGTACCGAACCACATGAAACCTTATTTTTAAATTTTTCTATGTATAATGTATATGTAGTACTTTTGTGCTGTAATTAACCTACTGCTCTTCCTTTTGTGCAATGTAATCAAGAGTTAAGCTGGTTACTGTGATGCAACACACAATTAATTCTTGTTTAATTTAAATAAAAATTTATCTTTAGCCCAAAAATAAGAATTTTATTCATTTTGACATTTTATTTTCAGGGATCTCTTGAAACCAAGGAATATATCCTTGCAGAAGTTTCAAAAAATCTTGGCCTTGGTGCCGATCGATTCTGTTTATTGGCAGCTCTTCTTGGTAACTATTTGCTTACGGAACATGATCTTGTAGATTTTTATCGAAAATTGGGAATGAAAGAAAACCCAGGAAAGGTGAGAATATTATTGCAATTGTTGGAGTGATAGTGTTCTGCATTAATACTAAGATAATTTCATGTGTGTTGTCTTCTTGATTGCAAAGAATAAAAAAAGGCATTGCCATAGTGTGCATGAGACAATTGATCTTATTTAAAAATGTTATCAGTAATAAATAAAATTAGCTTAAAATGGATCGTTATTGTAAAGGAAACAACTCAGAAACTTTTTTAAATTTTATTTTAATGGCCATGCAGTGATATACAGAAATAATGATATATGGATAGAATATCAAATTCCCAATTAATGTAAAAATCATTTTGATATCAAAAAGAAAAATAACATGGTAATTACATCCTTCCAATTTTAACAACAAATTCATGTAAGAAATAATTGAAGTTTACGGATATTCTAATAAACCTATTAACTTAATGCAGAAATTTTATGTTTTATGTTCTTAAAGGTGTTCACTAAATTTGTGAATTTTTAATCATAAGTAATGAATCTCCTTGTGTATGTGTGTGGATTACATTATATACTAATGGCAAATATAGCATGCTAGGAAAGTCTCTGCAGTGGCACCTTGCTGGTAAGAGTGCTTACAACAGGAATAGTGTTGGTAGGAAGAGCTACATTTTGAAAAGATTAATTATGTACTCACCGTGATCAATGTAGATGCTGGAAACATTGTCTCAATCATTTGTTTGCCAGTGATCTGGTTGCTACCAACATAAATGCAGTTTTTAATAGGATTCCCTGATAATGCTCAGTGCAGAGTCTTTTCTGGTGCATGGTATATATTTGGTGAGTTTTCCATGTGACATCCAGTGCATATTGGCCATGCTCTGAGGATGAATGCTGGGTGTTTGTCATAATAGCATCCTAGCTAGGAGAATTGTGGGAGTGCAGTGCGAGGTATCGACAGCTTTGTGATACTTTTTAGTGTTTGCTTAAAGTACTACTTAGCTTTCGATGTGAATTCTCACCTTTAGCGTGCATTTAAGGAGTTGTAAGTTCAAGAGATAACAGCCTTTCTGTCTCTGCAATGGCTGCGCTGCTGGAACTGCTACATCACAAACAAATTGGCTGGCATTGCGTCGGTGTAAACAAACATTTTAGTCGGTCAAAACAAACCTTTTAAAAGGAAATTTTGTTGTTGTTCTGTTTGTGTCGCACAGCCAGTTCTTAGTTTCTGTCTCTTTATTTCATTACTTCATGCTGTACTGCACTTGTTCTTTTGCCAGTGCAGTAAAACTTGCTTAAGGTGACCAGATGTTCTTCTATCTGGACTTGCCCTCCTTGTCACACTTTTGTCTGGAGTCTAGGTGGGTTTTTTAAAAATTGTGAAATTTCCTTCTTTTTGTAACTTGGCTCTCTGAGGTCTGTATTTTGAAATTTGCTTTTGACTCCTCTTTACGCTAATATGGCTGTAGGTGGCAGAACTATCACTGGAATATTTTCCCTTCTCTGTGCGAATTGACAGGTTTGTTTATTCTGTCCAAACTTGTTCGTATTAATTTGTGAATCGTTGGTGATTCTGTCGAGGAAGGGAACACACATTTTTTTGTTATCCTACAAATGCGTTTGCTAAGGATATGTAATAGTTTACAATGCCAAAGCAAAAATGCAAGATTAAAAAGTGCTCTATCAAGCAGATGTCTGGAATTCAAAATGTGAACAAAGGAATAAAATAATATGGACTGTCCTTTTTTTTTTTCACCAATTGTCCTCCATTTTTTAGCCTTTGTCATTGTTTTCATCAAGGATCTGGTCACCCTAAACTTGCTCAATGCAGAAACCTGTCCAATATAATAAAAAAAAAATGGACCTGGCAAACATAAATTCTACGGAGTTGATGTCTAATGCGTAATCTGTGAAAAAAATACTGTAACCCTAGAGATTCCATATTGATGAATTTATTTGTCAATTAGCTTTTATGTTTGAACTTGTTTCTATTTAGAGCCATAAAGACAATTGCAATTTCAGCCATCAACTAAATAGCAATTGGCCACTTTTCCTAGTACTGAATATAAAAGACTGTTTATAAATATATACAGTTTGTATTGTTAATATTGTCTGTAAAACTGCACATGTTTCCTGTATACCATGTGTCAGAAAAGAACTTGGGCCAGGTCACTTGCGATGTGCAGCTCTTGTTTCACGTCTTTCTGAGGCGACCAAGATGTAACATTCAAAGTGTTAAAGGGAGAAAGGGAGGCACACCTTGTCCTCTCTCTCCTCTCTCTCTCCTCTCTCTCCTCTCTCTCTCCTCTCCTCTCTCTCTCCTCTCTCTCTCCTCTCTCTCCTCTCTCTCCTCTCTCTCT